TTGACCAATCAGCGAGCTAGTTTTGAGGAGATAAGCCAATGAATGCTTGTCATATGATTTGTATGTATGTATATATGTGATGGTGATGATAATCACTACACTTTCACTGACATTGTGAAAATTTTATCACAACAAATTCAACGCACAATCTTTCACTTAAACTCACAAACTACATTCCACAAACAAAAGAAAAAGTTTAAAAAAAGATTCAAACACCACAAAGTTTTCATTCACAAATCTTAAAATCTCCAGTATAAATCTTTGTATTTCTTATGCTTTATAAATGAAAAGTTGTTTTTTATTGTATAATATTGTGTGTTTTTTCTCATTTTGTTCATTGCTTTGTTATTCGTTGAAGAAGTAAATAAATGTGTTGAGGATTTATGTTGGTTTGAACATACAACCAATTTCACTCTACAAGTGGTAATCCCCAACATTGCATTGAATAACCTATCCTCCACACTTTCATGTCATTTTGTCAGACTGTCGTTACCAGCAAGTTGCAACTGGAAATGGTTGACTCACAGTGCAACAGCAACTATCAAATTACAACCAGAAATTAATCCCGCGCTCGATGATTTCTTTTGTAAGCTGAGAAGTTTTCAGATTATTCACTTCTATCTAGAAATTATGAGATCCTAGATATAAGAACTTTAGATTAAAGTTTGTCATTATCTTGGCAGTGTTTTTGCATCTAAAAAAGATGAATGAAATCATTAAATTAAGTTTTCATAAGTAAAAAATAAATCAAGCAAAACCGTGCTGTGACCCCTCTCCACCTGCTTGGACAGAATCCTCGGGTTTATTCCATAGCATGATTTTTTTGACTGGTTATGACTAGCTAAGACAAGCTATGACTAGCTAAGACCAGAAATTGACCAATGGCGACACTCAGGTTCCCTGTGACAAAGTGACCTTGCGAAAGAAAGTTGAACGTGGAAAAAATATATAGGAATCAATAAAATATAAGGAGTGCTAAAGAAAAGCAATTTACAACAACAAGATTGAAATATAAGCTCTGTTAAAATATGTTTACTGAGACATTAAATTTATAAGTCCCAAAAATTCATATACTGATATTCTCAAGAATACATGGCCCAGTGGATAAAAGCGTCGGTTGGATCCAGTGACTTGACCCAATTCTGTAAATGCTGCTTTGGTTTATGTGTTGAGGTTATCAAATGTAATTGTGTGTTCTAAGAGCATTTATCTATTATACATTTAATGATTCAAGAAAAAACAACGAGACTCCAATTGTGCATCAACAATAAAATATATATTGAAACAATAACGTACAAAACAATCATGCAATGGTGCGTAGTAATTAAGGGAGAAAAAGTTGCTTCCCTTCAACTGTATTCTGATTAAGATTGAATGTTCAAAAGAATTTCTCTTGAATAAGAATGTTCTGGATTCTGTGTTAGAAAAGAATACAGCTAATTAAGAAGTGTGCTGTTTTGAGTAAGAGAGTTCTGGTTCATGAACTTGGCTTAGTCACAGAAAGGAAGAATATGTGTAATGTGATACAGAAATCTGTGTCTGTGTGTGCGTTGTGAGTAAAGTTGTGGATTTGTGTAGACAGGCGTTAAATGGCTGGACTCTACTGACGACTTGCGAGAAAGTCGGTAAGAGTTGTTGGCAATGATCTTTAACGTCTCACTGCAAGGTTAAGACGGGAGCTCTTGAAGATTACATCATGGCAGCAAGGAAAACGATGAATGAAGAGAACACAAGAGAGGCTTATTCGTGCTTTGTTTATATAAGGCTGTGACCCACGTGACAGGTTCCAGCCTTGTTCGCGGGAAAATTATTCCTCGCGTGCAGGCGATTTGGTTGGTCGGAATTAACCAATCAGCAAGCTAGTTTAGTCAATGAATGCTTGTCGTATGATCTGTATGTATGTATGTGTGATGGCGATGATGATCGCTACAATTCAATACCTGGCAACTGCAGTAAAAACAACATAAAACCCGATCCAGAACGTCTAACCTCTTCTTCCCCATCTAATCAACTCAACAGCCACGCGTCCGTGATCAAGGCTAGCTCAGCAGGGTTGTCAGATTTGCTTTTTTTACACCATATTTCTGAAGTCTGTCTTTTTTCATGTTACCTTGATGCCAGAAAATTGATTTATTTTTGGTATCTTTGGCTTTTTCTTTTATACGCTAAAATATACAATAAACAGTATATTGCTGCTGCTATGGTACAATCTTTTCATTCTTTATCTTCAGTGATGCGCCTGAATTATGCAAAATTCCGGCCCTTTTTATCATCATATTGTGGAATCTTCCACAACAAGCCAGTTAACCCCTGCTAGGAAATGTGTAGTGGTACTGACGGCATAGATCAACCCACACATTTTTTTACATTACGAATGTGTAAGAAAACAAAAAGCAAACAAGATAAAGAACACAAGAAAATAACTTTTCTTAACAGGTACAATATTTATATTTATAAACGACAACAGTTTTACAATAACTATTAATATGAGTTACTTCCCCTTGACTGGGCTAAAGTTTTTCTACTAAAATATTTTTGTACCTTAGCTCACAAAAGCTGAATTAAGTTGTCGTTGAAAATGTTCACTGAAAGAGAATCTTGTAAAGCTGAAAATATGTTGATAAACTTTTAGCTTTAAAGAAGTTGGAGAAGTGAATGTTCCGTTTGTTTTCGTTGCTCGTAGTTGAATGTATTGTTCGTAATTGTTTGTACTTACTTAAGTTTCGTAAGATTCAATAACGTAATTGAATAAGTTTAGTAAGTTGCAGAAGTTGGTGAGTGAGTTGTTTCGTTGAAATTGTAGCTTGAATTTCAGTGAAGTTATTTCATGTTAAAGAACTTGAGGTTCTAACTTTGTACTTCGCTGCAGTAATGATTCAAGCGTCGTGAATTCGTTTAGCAAATTCTAGTCGTCGTAAATTCTCACTGTCTGAGTTCGCTTGCATCTTCAATTTATATGTTTTTTAATCACGTGACAGGATCCTGAAAGCATTGTTTTTTCGTCAGGTCAAAAACTAGGTTGATGTTATTCGGGCGTAGTGGTGAGCAGGTAAATTGTTTTTTTAATATCTGTTAACAACTCAGAAAGCGCCTTACAAAACTCAGTCTGGAGCGTGGAGCCTGATATGTTTTGTGTTGCTTATTGAGAACAATGCACGTGAAGATATACGAGATAATTTTAATATTTATTGTCCAATGAGAAGTTCAGGTTTTCAGAAAAATGTATGAAGATGTGATCCGCTTTTTTGCACGAAAATCGACATTGATGAAAAAGTGGTAGCGAACAGCTAAAAATGCACTATTCCTGTTGTGATTTTCACCATCACAATCTTACAAAATATATAACAAGTATTCATTGGTTAATCACCTTCAATCTAGCTTGCTGATTGGTCAGTTCCGACCAATCAAACCGCCTGCACGCGACAAATCTGTTTTCTCGCGTTTTCGTTCTGAGCCTCCCATATGATACACGATCTTATAAAAACAGAACACGTGTAAGCTCCCTTGTGTTTCTTTTCATTCGTCTTTCTCCTTGCTGCCAAGATGTAATCTTCAAGAACTCCCGTCTTAACCTTTGCGATCAGACGATAAAGACCATTACCAACATTCACGCAAGTACGAACTCTGAAATCTTTTCTGAACTTTTACCAACTTTACAACTCACAATTCCAAACATGCTAAAGAAACTTTATTCTTCTAAACTACAGTTTAATAATTACTTTCACTTTATAAGCTCAAATACAAATATTTCCAAATCTAAGAGACATAACTCTATCACACCTTCAGCTTATATGCTTGTACATCAAATACTTAATAAATTCAATTGTTATGTTTTGAAATCATTACATTCAGTTTTGTATTTTATACTATGTGCTATTTACATCAAATATAAATAAAATTGCATTGCGTCCACGCATTGTCCTTAATCCCACCTTTCCTAGCCAAAGTTAAATATTGGTAACACTGTCGCTACAATATCCTTAAATCCAGAAGGGGGAGGGCTCCCAGAAATTTGTTAAAAAAATGGAACAATGATTCTTTTGCAAACCTATGCCAATTTCAGCAGCCAATCAAAAGGAAGAAATTTCTTTTATAATTCTCTAATGACCGTTTTTTTCCTGGTCTTTCACATTCTCGACCTTCTCCAGTGTTTCTTTCATAAGTTAAAAATCCTTTAAATGATAAAAAGAAAGTCTTACTGATCCACATACTAAAAAAATGAATAATTAATAAAACGGTTCATTAGATATTAGTGAGGAAAAAACAAACATTTTCAATTAAAGAAAATGAAATTTACTAAAACGTTTTTAATCATATTGCAAGTCTAAAAAGAAAACACTAAAAAAACAAGATTTTCCACGAATCAGACTTGTTTTTTTTTAACTATTGTTAAATTACATTTTCGAATTTCCAGCTAAAAATTCACTAAAGCAAATAAATGTTTAAAATTGAAAAAATAAAAGTGTTTTAAACGAAACCGAAACGCCTAAAATCCCACTTAATAAATAAATAAATAAAATTTCATGTTTCTGGCTTTAAAAATTTTAATTTGGCTTTTACTGGGTTTTTTTTTATACGTATTATTTGGCTTTAGATAAAAAATTTAATTTTGTTAGCCGTTAAGTCGGTTGTGGTCTGACCTGAATAAGTAGGCTCCACCAGGTTTTGTTCAAGACACGCCGTACATACCTCCCTCAGTTTCTTTTAGTGAATAATAACAGAGAATCCTTTCTCAGCTAAGACAATATCATGTTTCCATTTTTAACGAAACTTAAACTTCTGGTAATTTTCCACAATTTCTGATAACATAAAGAGTAAATAATTCGGTCATGATGTTTAAAGTTATAACAATGTCATTTCATCATTTATTCGATCAATTGGACTTCAACAAGTAAATGTCCTCAGCTCGTGTTTTGCTAAATTTCTAGTGCCAGCCTCATTTCATAGTCCGGTGTTACACAAACCAAGTCCCAACTTCATCAACTCTTCTCTCAAGAATCATGTCATCATCCCCACATTCACAAGATATAGAAAGTTTTTGCTTAAAACTTCCCAAAATTGTAAGCTTATTACTGTTTTTTTTTTTTTTCACTTTTCGTACTTTCTTTACTTTTGCTATCATTGATTTGTTTATTAATGTTATAACGCACTCTCTCTACGTTTCCATGAAATAAAAAACAAAAAAAACTAAAAGGTAACAAAGGAAATAACGAGACGACCATTGTTCAGTTTATTTTTCATTTTGAAAGTTCGTTTACATTTTATAAATCACTTATGATTATTCAATTTTTTGTGAATACTCGTATCAATTTTTGATATTCTTTCTAATGAAGATTTTTTTATTTGTACCATAGTGCATGCAATTCAACATTTTATTTTATTTTTTGAGGGACATTTTTTTTTCAGTATTTCATTTGTGTTTATCATCCCTTCTAGAAATAGGGAAATGTGGAATACGTTAAGTTCTTAAAAAAACGTATTCCAAATTTAACAGCTTTACGAGGCTTATTGTCTTCAGTTTATTATTGCTCCAAATGTTTTGCATCGGAAACTGGTTTTTTACATTTTTATGATTAAAAAAAAATTATATGCGTCTTCTTTTGAACTAAGTCTTCCAATAAAAATTAGGGAAAACATTTTGAATTTTTTTTTTTTTTTTCAGATCATCATTCTTTTTTTAAAAAAATCTTTATTCTTTACTAGAGTACCTTCCTTAGGTTGCAACACTTGTCAGAATAAAAAAAAATGATTTTTAGTCAGTTGCTATGAAATTTGTCCCGGCTTTCCCGCATCAAAGGGTTATGGTTTAAAAATTTGCGAAAAAACGCAAGTAAAACATCAAGATTAGAGCGGACAAACTCTCTCTTTTAGGCGCGTACGAATAAAGAAAAAACTCCTGCTCGGTGAGTAACAACAAAAGAAGAAACTAAAGTGTTTATTTACAACATATACAGAAAAAAAAAGTAAAGGGATGAAAGGACAATTAGGAGAGAAAGAAAGGGAAAAGAGAAAATGTTCTTAAACTTAAAAAAGGCTTGCTCAAAAATCAAAATATTTCTCTGTTCGCCTAAGGAGTTCTTTAGGCGATATTGTTAAAGTTCTGACCGTACTGGTTATCATGAGAAAGAAAGCGGACAAACACTTGCTGCCATGTGTGAGCATAATTTCGCTCTACCGAAAACTCATTTTTACTTATTTTTTTTATTTTTTAATCTCCCCCCTACTCGTCAGTCTGTTTGACTATCGTAACTCGTAACACATTTATTTTTGTCCTAATCATTCTAACCTAACTTTTAATCCTATTTGTTGGTTTAGTTCGAAATCCCTGTTCGAAAGAAAAATTGAAAAAAAAGAAAATTGAATGTCTTTGGCTAGATGCGAAAGTATCTCGTCAGTATTCTCATGATCTAGTTGGCTGAATTTTCTTGCTAGATAAAATGTCCGAACATGGAATTGTTTTTGCCGTTTTCTTTCTCCCGTTGTTCTTAATTTTATTGAAAGCATGTCTCCCAAGCCCACTGTTGGTAGGGGCGGAGGATTGCCCGTTGATTTCCCCCCCCACCCCAAGCTCTGCGTTTCGTTGAAACTTGATGCTTGGAGTTAAAGTAAGCCATACATTCACTGGTTATCATGAGAAAGAAAGCGGACAAACATTCGATGCCACGTATGATGTGGCATTTATTATGACATATCAACAAAGCCGGATAACCTTATTTTCTTCAATTTCTTTTTTATTTTAGAATATGACAATGGGACTTATATAAGTTAAAACTTAGTGTTGTGTAAGGGAAAAATACAAGTGTCAGCCTGGACACTTTGCCAACTACCTCCCCCTCTTTTGTTTTATCCTTATGTAATAGGAGTAGGTAGGCTTTCCTACCGCCCGGTCAACACTCCTCCCCCTTCTCTTGGACATGAGTAGAGGCTCACACCTTGTTTCTTGCTTAGGAAAGGGGTTCCCGGTACTCTCTCTGGCCTCTGTACTAGTGCAGCTTTATTCACAGCTTGTTCACTCCAACCTGTTTTCATTATTTGCAAAACCGGCTCCCAAATCCTTGATTCTTATCGGAGATAAGAATGTGTTTTCTAGCCAATGGAGGGGCCAGGAAATTTGTATAACAATTTTGGAGGGAAAAGTCCACAATCCCTCTGAGTCTCTCAAATCTACATAAATTTGGAGAATCTTTGCCTATTTGGCAGTGAGAATTCAACCACCGTCTGTGAGGTCGACGATAGAAAGCACCAGTCAACTTCAGAACCACTTTCAACGAAAGAAGATCTACTTACTAAAGGGCTGTTGAGAACGAACGTCGGCCCACTAGTAAAAACCAATTGAAAGCTGTATTCCTTCACCACTCCTTCTGCCGTGCCCACTGGACTTCTATCGTTGAACTCACTTACTTAACTGCAAGATTCCTATATGTAGCAACATTTTCCTACTCTACAAGAACTGTGAGTGTTTCTAAACCTTAAAATTCTAGTCGCTTAAAGAACTTTTATGCGCTCAGAGAAATATTTTGAGCAAGCCTTTTTTCTGTTATGAACATTTTCTCTTCACTTAAAGGACATTTCCTCTTCTCCCTTTCTTTCTCTCTTAATTGTCTTTACTCTTTTTTTTCTGGATATGTAAATAAACACTTTCTTCTTTTATTGTTACACACCGAGCAGGAGTTTTTTCTTTATTCTTCCGTGCCTAAAAGAAAGAGTTTGTCCACTCTAATCTTGCTGTTTTTACTCGCATTTTGTCGCAATTTTTTAACCTCAACCCTTTGATGCAGGAAAGCCGGGACAAATTTCCCTGCATTCAATCTCTACTATTTTTACTTTCAACAAATGTGTCAAGAAATAATAAACGAGAAATATATTCAACAAGAGAAGTTGAGCAAGTAAATGGAATTTAACATTCAACAATTGTACAAAAGAGGAATTCACTTGTTTGAAATGCTGAATTTTGAAAATACTATACAACAGTTACAATCACATTGCACAAAAATATCCATGTTTTAAAGAGATTTTTTTCTCAACCTGCTTATTTCTTTCAAACAAAATAAAACCAAAAAGATTCATTGGACTCGGGTATAATATCAGACACAAAAATGTGCCATTAATGGAGCTCCTGGAACATTTTACACATGACTAATTTCGACAACCATTTTAAGGTGCACATTCTGAAAAAATATTCTAAATCTACCGAAATATTTTGTAGATTTTCTGTTTTTATACTTGTAAAAAAAAATGTTTTAAAACATAACTTGAAGAAGATGAACATATTGTTGAAAATTGTTAAACACTATCTTTTTTTTTTTTCCTTTTCTTAAATTGTGCTCTTCTCTACTTTATTATTATTAGTAGTAGTATTTTACTGGAATGTTGTCTAATTCTTTTTCAGCAGATATTGCTGGTAGACCTCAGTCAATCTATCTTTTTGCCATACCAAATAAACTAGGTGAAAAATGATGCAAACTACATTCAAATATCAGCATCATTGTTACATAATCAAACTAATTATTAGGTTTCTAAAGAATAGAGCTTATAGCAAATTTAGACCAGAAATAAGGAAAAAAACAGTGTGGCTTTAAGACATTGGATCAAAATGCTATTGAAGCAAGCAATACAAATGCAGAAAGACTTGTTTTATAAACACAGGCATTTGATAGGGTACAACACAAAGAGTTGCTTAATTTACATGGGAATGACATTTGAGTAATCCATAAACTCTACTGAAAACAAACAGCCTGCATGAGGATAGAGAATGAATAAATACACAAATATAGAAAGAGGACTAAAACAAGGATGCATTTTTTTTTTTTTATTTATTGTACAATGAGATGATCTTAAGAGAATTAGGGGATCTGTCATGAATTATTGGTGGACATAATCTCAAAACCATAAGATAGATGATCTATGTTGATGGATGACTTATAAAAAAAAATTGAAAGTATTAGACAAGGAATTTAATGCATAGTTGTTATCAAAAGAGGCAGCTCAAGGTGAGATGGGAAAATTAAGCTGGTACAAAAATGTAACTATCTGGATAGTATAATAAATGATGGAAAGTGTGAAAAAGAAATCTAATGGTACATGGTAATAGCACACGACAAGAAGTTGTGGAGAGCTATGATCGTCAACGTCTTGAAGAACATGGTATATAAAAGAAGGAAGGAAGTGCATGCCAAGAATTACAGTTGTTTGGATTAGATTTTGTCCCAATTGGTATATTTTACAATTCAATTAAACAAGGTGAAAGAAAAGGTTTGCTCCCCTGAGTCACAAAACACATCAGATTAATTGAATCAAGGGAATATTTAAAATTCATGCATTTTAAACATGGGTGCAAGAAAACAGAGCTTGGTGTACAAAGTATTTAAGAACTAAGATAAAATTTTGACAAAAGCATTTTAAAACAGGATGTTGCAACTAAATGAATCAATACATAGAATCATTTTATTAGAAAATGCATGTAAATGTCAAGATAAAATTTTTGTATTTAATGTTTGTCAAGAAAGTCACTGTCTAGACTGAGGATGATGTTATGGACAGAGATCTGCAAATCAGTATGAATGATATTAAAATTGAAAGACAATAGGCTTTTACTTCGCAAAAATACAAAAATCTCAGAAGTAATAGTTAAGTTCAGTAGTGCAAAGTTGAGTGTAATGGCCCCCCAAAACACTTAAAGTACTAGAGGAAATAATTGTTCATTAGTAATTGCTGAAAGATATTTTAACTGTTCATATGAACAAAATATTTACAGAAGTTTTTTATTCATAAAGGAATGGATTTGCTCAGTGCAAAGTACTTGATGGAAAAGCATTCACTCAGTAAAAAGTTAAATTTCTGTAGTTTTTTGTTAGAGGGGCTTTTATGTTGATGATTGAAACAAGTAAAGACAAAGATTCTCTTATTACATCACTTTTATATTGAACATGCAGACATAGCAAATAAAAAAAATACTTCTCACTTCATTCCAAATGGTGATAAGTTTTGTGATTTTTTTTTTTTTTAATTTTAATCTGGATATTCAGTATATATGCACAAAAAAGTAAAAATTTATCAATGTTTTAATTGTGTCTAAAATGGCTTGCCTTGTAGTAGTGCTTTGATGCAAGAACTTTGATTTTAGGCAAGCCCTTCTAATTATTGAAACATGTTAAACACTAATACTACTAAAATCAGTAGTTCTTGAGAATAAAAACAATTTAAACATTAAAATAAATATCTTCTACTTCAAACAAGATGATAGCATTTACACAATAGTTAAAGCATAAAGAAATCAGATTACAAAAAGTTTTAACTACAAAGTCAATGTAATAGCCTTCTAGAAAGAAAGTAAAGAAACAAACTTTTAGCCAAAATTAAAGTTAACACAACCCTCAATCAAATGTTATGGGACCATTAAACATCCACCCTTTAACTATCTTAGAGTCAATTTACTTCCCACCCAATATTTTAGTTTTGCAATTAATGATGACACTACTGCATCTTGTTTTACTGTCTCCTTATACTTTACCAAGATTTTGATTATATGCCCCAAATTGTCAGGAATTATCTTTTATTACAGTTTTATCATTGCATATATTCATCTTCATGTTTGTTCTCTATTGCATCCTTACTATATTGAGTATGTAAATTCAACCCTCCATATCTTACAAATATTTGATTGTATGGGAATAAAATTTACCTATTCCCAGATGTGCACCTGCACTTTACAAACTAAACAGATAAAATATTCCTGTTATAAGAAAATCAACTATTGCAACATTCTGAGACAAATCAACTATAGGCACCAGAACTCATTACAAGGAGACACCTAATATTTGAAGATGTTACTACAATAATAATTGTCAACTCATGGATACAAAAGATTACATCACTATACCTTCATCAAAAAAAAAAAATCTAACAATCTTTATTTTTAATCATATTTGGTCTTGTGTTATACTAATGGATAAAAATATGAAACAATAATTACATTTCCAAAAAGATAAACAAAAATAACAATAAGGAATGCTATCATTAATGGAATAAATTTATTTTATTAAGCTAATATATCCCTTACTTGGGATCAAAAAAAATCTAGGAAGATTTGATCTTTCAAGAAAGCTATTCATTCAAAATGTTGACTGTTCAGTATAATCTGAGTTTTTAGATTGTCTGTTTAATAAGCTTAATACTGGTAATCTTTTATCTTTTTCTTATTAATCTTTGTAATCAGTTAATAACATTTATCTACCTATGACATGACATTTAAAATTTATATAAATGTATACATTTTTAACATTATAATTTTTTCATATATATATATATATAAGGAACTCCATGCTCATATCAACTCCTCAGTTAGCGAAAAGACATTTAGAGAACTTCTCAGAAAGAAAGATGTTGGAGACGGACAGCTTGCTTCTGTTGAATCTTCTGTGTTTGGACCAAAGGAGACAACATTTAAAGCTTTTGATGAGTAAGTTTCTTTTATTTAATGATTTTTGAAGAGCAATGAAAATTAACTTTTCTCATTTTAACTTTGTCTTGCAATTGTTTGTAAAATGCAATACAATTTACATTGTGTTTTTTTTTTTTTTTTCCAGTTGTTTTGATATCTTCCCATTAATTCACAAAGTTATAGACAGTCCAGAAGCTATATATAAGGTATAAATTAAAAAAGAAAACAACCAAACTGCTTGTTTTTTTAGTTTGTTTATTTTATTAACCATTTGATTCTGAACCTTGTTTACTAAGCTTTACCATTTTTAAAACATGGTAAAATTTAGAGAAGGATGTCAGATAACTTTCAAATTCACTCAAATTTTGATCTCTCATATATATATATATATATATATATATATGTCTTTTTTACTTAGCAAATGGACCTCTCTTCTTTATCATCTTGTCTTCTTTCACCAAATAACTACTTTCTAAGGAAATAAAGTAATAAAAGTAAATCAAATTCTGTGGCTAGCAGAAAGTTCAGTTATCAATCCATTTATTTTTGAATGGGTAAATGAATGCTAATTCATTCTACTTTCAATCCTAATATTGTTTATTGTAACTTTTTTGTATCTTCAATTTCATAATCCTTCTCTTCCTCTGTGACAGTAAAATGCTATCTTCTGAGTATTTCAGTACTGTCTTATTTTTTTTATATTGTTAAACTAGGCAAAATTCTTCTTCCCCTTAACTCTGCTTAGATAAAGCTTAATAATTCTCTTCTTTTTATTAATATGTATGTATTTAAATGTTTATTTTTCATTTTAGGTGACTTCAGATGTAATTGCAGAATTTGAAGCTGACCAGGTGAAATACTTGGAATTAAGAACAACTCCCAGGGAGGAGCTTCTTACAAGCATGACAAGACGTTCCTATGTCGCTACAGTATTGAGTGCAATTAAAGACAGTAAAAAGAAGAATCTTGACATTGATGTTCGGCTACTGTTATCAATCGACCGAAAATCTACTGTGAAAATTGCTTGGGAAACCGTTTTGATGGCTTCAGAATTGGCTGCTGATTCTGATAGAATTGTTATTGGAATTGACTTCAGTGGTAACCCAAAGGTTTGTCTGAAATTGTGAGAAACATTTATTTTGTGGGGAATTAATCCAAACTGATGTTTAGCAAAATAAATGTATTTTTGGTTAAAATTCATGGGATTTTTAAAAAATGAGTAAAATAAAAAATCTGCCCCAGATTAAGCTATAATATTTCATAAAAAGTAATCTGTACAAATAAAATGTCTGTCTGCTATAGACTCAGAAACTACTGGATGTATTTCAAGTAAACTTGGTATGTAGATAGGCAATGCAAAGTTGACTTAGGTTAACTCTGAAGGTTGTGAAATGTCAAAAATAAGGTCAAAGAAGCTATTTTTCATGGAAATTAAATATTCATTCACATGTAAAAATATGGTAAGGGAAGTAAATTGATGGGTGGTTACTTCCATTAATCATTTTAATAATCTATACAAATAAAATGTTTATCTTTTTAATAAGAGAAAACTAGTTCCCAAACAATGTCAGGTACCTCATATGTTTTAAAATGTTATAAAATAAAATAAATTTGTTGAAAAACTTGTTTTTGCTTCTGTGGAATTTTTTAAAACTAAAACTGGCTATATTTGTGTTAGCTACCTAAGTTCTAGAACACAAAGATTTTATTTTATTATTTTTTTAATTTGTTGTTTTTATTGCATGATCTCTTCTGATTTCTTCAAGTGCTTAATCTGTAATCCCTCTTTAAATAGAACATCAGTAACAAAAAGGACATGTTCACTTGTCCCAAAAAATCTTGAAATGTTAATTATAAATATTGTACAGTTTTTGTTTATTTTTATATACATTTGTTCATTAAATAGAAACCTTGTAATTTTAAAATTTGATTTCAAATATAGTAAAAGATTTTTGTATACTTTTATGTAAATAGATATTGGAAAATAAAACAAGCCAATAAATTTATTTACACTTTTAGTAATATTCAATCATGTACTCATTATACTTCTTTTAAACTCTTTTTGCTGATTTAGATGAATAATATTTAATACTTTCCATGAAAAGAACTATTTTTCTGTAATTTTGACATTGAATTATCAAAATTATTAATTCTTTATCAGTTGTGATCGTTTTTACTAGGAAGAGGAAAAAAGTCAAACAACTATGTCCTGATACCAAAAAGAAGAGGTATTGAGCAAAATTTTATGGGAAGTGTTGTAATGGAATGGCCCACACTCCTTATCACATATGTGAACTGACTATATTGGTAGATATAGTGATTTTCCAAGCATAGCTTACATGTGGTACAAGGCCAAAAGTAGGGGTTACCCAGTATGGATCAAACTCACTACTCAGTCGTAATTGTTCTAGAGAGACAAGTTTGCTAATCATTACACTGCCACGAGGTGCCCATATTGGTAGATATATATAGTGAGCACAGGATATACCTGGCAGACATGCTTTGGGAATTACTAGCTTGCTAACCGATTCCCTGTCTTTCAGTAGTGTATTCTCTTTTACAATAAACCTCTCTTTCTTTCATCTACACGCATGTTGCTGTTCCTTTCACTTGAGTACTACCTTTGTCTGTAACCTCTTTAAAGATAAAACAGTTTTCAAACATCTCAAAAAATACTCAAGCTGAAATATTTTTCTGTATATTAATGATTCTCCAACTCAGAAATGCAAATGTTTAAATCCTATTCTTTTCTCATAAATGCTTCCTTTTATATGCAGATTAATGATGCTAAAGACTTTATTCCAGTTTTGGCACATGCCAAATCTTCTGGTTTGAAGATTTCTGTTCACTTGGCTGAGGTAAAGTTCTGTTTAGGTTTCTTTTTCTTTAAAGATTTTTAAATATGAAATTTGAATGTATTTTTTGAATCTTGAAAAGATTTACTTTTTTTTAACCTTTCTGATAATTTTTAATTGTATGATACATATAAAACATGCTTAAACAACTTATTTTGCAAGAAATACAATTAAAGTAAAATCTATTGATGTATAGATTATAGACAAGTGCAGATTTTGCTTATTTAAATACTGTGTTAAAATCTAGGTTTACTACTTCTTGAAAATTATTGCTTCAAGTATTTTACTTGAAAACTGAATCTTCAGTATGTTACATGGAAAATAAGTAAGATTTTGTTGAAAGCAAAACAAAATCTTCAGTATAAGAAAATTTATTATTTAAAAAAATAGTGCAAGTCTGTCATTTAATATTTCCATATTTATATCCTTACTTATTAATTTTTGTTTTGTTTCACAAAATTGTTATATTTTTTCTTCTTAGATTGTAAATCCATTAGAATCTCATCAGTTAGTTGAAATTGTGCCTGATCGCATTGGCCATGGGACTTATCTTCATCCTGAAGTTGGAGGGTTGCAAGAATCTGTGGAATTTGTTAAGAAACATAAAATTCCAATTGGTAATGTATGCATGGATAATTTTAAGAAAAGAGTAGGATATCTTCAGCTTTTATCTTCTCTCATTCAACTTGACTGTCATGAATTTTCAATATGATTTACTTTATATACTTGTTCTTTTAATTACTATAGTGATTATTCTATTATCAAATATCAGCAGCTTAATGATAAGGCTTAATATCCTATATAGGTATTAGAAAATTATTTGTATCATTTGGTACTTTATGAAATTGCAGCAATTGATAGCTAACAATAAACAACAAAGTGATCATGGATATTAAAAGAAGAGAGCTTATAAATATTATGTATGAAAATGGCTTTAAATAACACATGAATCTTTGATAGAATTTGGTACTGATTATGATTCAGAATATTTTTTTCATTATAAAATGAAAATTATGAATTATAATTTATTAGCAGTACTTATCAAAGTTGAACTATTACTGTTGAAAAAAATTTTAAAAGAAAAACGTTCATGACAGTTTTATTTGACTTAAAATATAAAATGTCCTTTCCAATTTGTCTTACATTATCTATTCTTTCAATATCATAAACCTAATTAAAAACATTTTTAGTAAGAGTAGTAAAATCACTGAGGACAGCAAAAAATAACTAACTTTTGGATAAAACAATGTATGATATTTTTGTAGAATAATTGACCATGGTTAAATGTAATTGGCAAAAATTACCAACAAACAGAATTGACAGTTTCAAATAAGCAATAACAAAAGAAAAAGCAGTGCAAAATAATAGTAAGCAGACACACACACATATATTATACATTATTTATATAGACACAAATATTTAAGTAAATGCTACGTTTATAATAAACAGTATTAACAACATTTACTGGCCTGAATGTCCGAGAAATTTTCATAGAAAATATGTGTCCTCCAACAGAAATTGAACCTGTATCCTACATGGAACTGTCATATAGTATGACATGATATACCAGTTTAGCTACAGAGGAGTGTCTGGTCAGCAAGGTCAATTTTACTGCTTTTAAACTACAATCTTCCATGATTTCCCTCGAATGATCATATCTGTTTAAAGCATACCTAAATGTAAACAAATGACAATTATTTTAATATATTTTATTGTTATACGTTATGTCTATATAAATAATGTATAACAATAAGATATATTAAAATAATTGTTGGACTTTGTCCATTAAAAAATGTCAAACCTGAAACTACAATGAATATTATATATATATATATATATATATATATATATATATTGATATATACTGTTGGTGTTAATAAAAGTGCTCAATGTAATATAACAGAGCTACTAAGTATATATTAATAAATGTACATATTATCCCTCACCGCTAGCACAACTCTGAGTTTCATGCACAATGCAATCTTCAGATGCGGAGTATAAACTGACTATTTCACAATTTGAATTATAATATATCTGGTTATCACAATGTTGGCATAGTTATATATTGTGCTGGGATTACAGTTTTTTTAATTTTAAAAGTATTTTTTTTTTTTTTAAATGCTATTTACAGTTTATTAAATAATTTAAAATATGAATATACACCACTCAAATATATAATTTTTTAATTTTTTTTTTTTTACATACATATATAAATCCTGCTTATTTTAATTCCCAAATATAATTTGAAAATTAAAAAAAACTGTTATCCCAGCATAATATATAACTATACCAACATTGTCATATCCGGATATATTATAATTCAAATAGTGTAATGGTCAGTTCATACTCAACAATTATTTTGAAACTCAGTCATAAAAAAATGTAATCTTAAAATATTTCACTCACAAATTTTGGATCCTGTCACTTGATCTAAAGATTTTAAAAACTTATACCATATGTGCCATGTATTTTGCATTGGTTAGATCCAGTATATGGACCCAAAGTTTTATTATTTTTAACTAGTATCTATAGAACTTTCAGAGGGAAAATTAACGGGAGATAACTGAAAACTGACATCCATTAAAACATGGAACTAGAACAGTCTACCCCAGTGAAATGAAATAAAAAAAAAGTTCGACATTCCAACCACCTGAAGAAGGCTTTTTTTTATAATAACTAAAACGTTGTAATAAATATGGTGACAAAAAGGACAATAGTCTGAATAATGTAAATAATGTACATAATACCTCATCTTTAAATATAGACAGATATAAAAAATACAATATATATATATATATATATATATATATATATATATATATATATATATATATAGAGAGAGAGAGAATACAATAAATCTTGGAAGTAAAAAATTTCAATAATTCTGTAGTTTTTATATTTGAAGTTAAATAGTATTAATGCTGATAATTTTAATTCAAAACCTATTTTCAACAAAATGAATGACTAAATTATTTTACATTTGTAAATTTCAGAATGTTGTATTTCATCCAATTTGAGATCCCTTTCTGTTGCAAAGCTTAAACTTCATCATTTTGGATACTGGTACAAGCAGTCCCACCCAGTTGTGCTTGCTGTAAGTTAACATTTTTTTTTTTAACAATATACTCTAGCAAGGCTATTTGTTGTTACTTACATTAAGATAGGTACCTCCACGAGATCGCTAAAAAAAGAGCATAGCATGATGAAAAAGACGCCAAACTTGACAAAAACAAAATTTTATCGTCTAAATGTTTGTTATTATTAAGAGGAAAGGTCAAAGTATTTTTTTTATTTTTTTCCATTTTTTAATCGTTCCTAGCACGTCCAAAAATTTTCGTTAAAAATCTAGTTTTTTTTGAGTCAGCAAAATTGACCATTTTTTTCCATTTAAAAAAAAACTGGAAATCTGACTTTGAAATTTTTTAAATATCAATTATCATTTTTTCAAAACTTATTTTAAGAAAATCAGAAATTATAATGTTTATTTAAAATATTTTGAACCAAACTTAACTTAGCTTTTTTGTGCCAAAAAAGATGTAATTTGAAAATAAAACAAAGCAGGTCATAAACTTTCGCGTCTCTTGACATGTGATGAATGATATATTTACGAATTCCATGAGGCTAATTTGTTCTACTGGAAGGAGAAAAGTGAAATAATTTACATTTACGTGAACAAATTATTTACCCGTTATTTTTAACGAAAACTTTCAGCGGTCTAATTTTTTTTTTTTTTTTTTTTTTTGTACTTAGCTTTCACCTTTACGTTTATGATGCTTTATGGGAAATATATTCTAAAGAAATTAAAATAAAACTGTTAAGAGTGACATTAAATTTCATATTTCTTAAGAAAGGTATCTAATTAATTTATAGGTACCTTTCTTATGAAATTTTATCAGAATTGTACATAAAATACTATAATTTTATGTACATTTATTACATTCTACTGTTATTTGTATTTGCATTCATTTTATTATTAATTTTGATATTTCATTTATGGAAAAATGTCGTAACTGAGATTAATATAAAAAATAAGATCATATAAATTTCATAAGATGATACTGATACTTGTAGGTACCCTTCTCAGTTGAAATTGAAAAATCAAATTAACTTCTCCACACGTGTTTTTCAAAAAAAGTAAAGGCCTTAACAGCGGAGAACAATGCTTAACTCAAATAATGCAACTTATTTATATTCTGGTTGGTCTTCCGTATTTTATAATTACAGTTCGATTATAAGCACAAAATTACATTTCTTAATTACTGGGGATCTTCTGATTAGTCAAAATGATACAATTTACAACGCGCTAAAAAAAGATCTATCTCATAAGGACACTTATGAAAGCCGATGCTTGACTTTTAACTAATTTTATAATATTTTAACAACTTAAATGTAAAATCTATTATAATTAATGAAATAACAAATAATTGTATTAAAAATTCATTTTCATCGAAAAAATTTTTTGCTTTCAGAAAATATTGTCCATATTCATAAAAAAAACAACTAAAAGCAAATAAAAGCATTTGAAATTAAATAATATATTTGTTTTATTGAGTTTTGTATGTTACAATTCAGAGCTGATTTTCAGGTACTGTGGATCCAATTAAAAAAAAAAAAAAACATGATTTGCATTCCTCAAAGACCTGTGCTTTTAATTATTGTAATCACTAAAACCGATGCAATCGAATTTCTAGCGTTTTCATAAAATTAGTTATGGGGGGGGTAATAAATATTTTAAAAAAATATTTCTACCATGACTTTCATAAAAAAAAAAAAATATTTATAATAATTTCGATCATCTGTGAATAGTTCCTGAAAGTTTCATTAACATCCGATAATTATTTCTATTTTTGCACGATTTTTCAAATTAATGTGTGTCATAAAAAAAACGTGCTAAAATTGTCTGTTATTTACTAGTTCCGCTGATACAAATAGAAACAAGGTTTTTTTTTTTAATCAAAATTTAGAATGTTCTAAAAAAGGAAAATTTTTTTAAAAATTAAAAAAAAAACTTTGGTCTTTCCTCTTAATAATAACATAAGCATTTAGACAATAAAATTTTGTTTTCGGCAAGGTTGGCGTCTTTTTCATCAAGCTATGCTCTTTTTTTAGCGATTTCGTGGAGGTACCTACATTAAGAACACATCTTCAAAAATAGATATGGGTTATTTGGGTACATGTTAATTGAATAATCCATATTACTATTCTTTACTCCTCTTCAGCCCTCATATGACAATTTATGTTATGAATGAAAAAGAAAGCTTTCTTGTTTTGTTTCTTTACTTATTTTTCTCTTAGGAAAATAAAACTTAATCTCTTCTTTCTTCAACTTAAAAATATAAATTTTAACTTACTTTTTATAAAAAATATCCTAACATGCAAAATTAGCATATGAATAAAACTATAATAAAAAATAATATAAGTTAATGAAACTTCATAAAAAGAATGCCTAACACTGATATTGACCCTTAATGACTTTTTTTAAAGGTCTGTCACAACCCAAAGCATAACCACTGGTTATTGCAGTTTCTTGAGAGATGACAAGGTGCTATCATACATGTATAACCACATTCTTTTATGTGACCTTGGAGCAATTTTCACTGTTGTAACAGTTGAACTTTTGAATAGCTTGTCACAAATTGATATCTGTAGTTTTGCAACTAGATGTGCATTGTGGTGTAATAGATATCAGCTCAAAATAAGAAATCAGAGTTTGAATTCCAGCCGAGTTCTTTATATTCATTTATGTGCAAATACTCTTGGTATTTATCCATCTCTTCTCACTCCAGTTATGGGTTGAATAGCAGGACAGACTGGATTCTATAGCTATAAATAATGTTTAATATTTTTGTTGTAAATTTTCAAGAACAAAAAAAATGTATAAATTCACTTTCTTCAAATATGTGTTTTATTCCAATTCTAATCATTGCTTTTTAAAACAATATACATTGCCAAAGAGTGAAGGTAGTTAAAAAAGGTGTAATGGGAAAAACCATCCTTTTGACACAGTGTCTTATTGTGGGCATGTTTATCCATGTTTACCATATTTTCTTTGTTCATTGTCTGAAGCAATTTGAAATATTGCTATGGATTAAATTTAAAGTGAATATTAATTTTATGCAAATTTCACTAGCAGAGGGATAAATCATACCCAATAATTCAGTTAAAACTATTGTCTTAAAGTTACTGTTAAAGTATACAAAAAATATTTATATTTTTGTTGTTTAAAAATCTGAAATTAAAATTGTCATTTTTCCATGAATTATTCAAGTTCATATTCTCACCTTTGTTGCATTTATCACTAGTTAGACAACTGCCTTCTCTGGCTTTTGTTAAATATATGTCATGTAAGTTTTTAATAGAATCCTTATTTGCAAAAGAAAAATATCATTAATGAGATAAGGATTCTATTCAAAGATTATCAGATGTAGCATTCATTTGAAGAAGATCAGAGAATGCATCACAACAATGAAGATAATAACACTTAGAATAATTAATAGAAAATTTAAACTTAATTTCAATTGTTATTTTGATCTGTGCTCTTGTTTGTTTTGCACCTGAGAGTAACTGAAAATATAAAATTTCTTTTGTAGTCAAAAAAATCTACAAAAGAACTCAATATTTTTTCTTTCTTTCAGACTGATGGTAAAGGAGTATTCCAGTGCTCATTGTCAGGAGAATATATTTTAGCTGCAAAGGCATTTCAATTAAGTCAAGAAGAATTGTGGCAGTTATCAGAGAAATCTATTGATTATATTTTTGCTGATGATAAAACTAAAAAGAAACTTAAATCACAATGGGCAGAAATCAGGAACTCTAAATTCCAGAAAACAATTTAAAGTCTATGAGGCATACAAAAATTTGTATGCTATAAAAATGGACATATTGAAAAAAACAACAGAAGGAAGAAAAACAAGGATAATAAAATAAATCATTTCAAAAAGGTGCATTAAAACAATAACAAGAAACACAAACATAACAAAAAGAAAAGGCTAACTGGTTTTTGATCTTTGCTATTCAGAGCCGAGGACACACTTATCAATTGTGTGCACAACATTTAAAAAAACAATAAATTAAAAACAGCCAGGCAATCATCAGAGGAAAAAAAATGATAATCATGCTTTGATTACATAAAGGCCCAGCAGCCATTCCTTTTGTTTTCAGAGGGAAGGCTCTCTGAATGTAGAGATAGAACTAATCAAAGGTTTGAGATTCAAATATTTCAGCACGTGCCAGATAAGATCCATCATGGGAGATATGATAATTTACATAATCTGTTTAATATTTCAGGTTCAGTGATTGCTGAACACTTAATAAATAATTAGGTATGTGTGCTAATGTCATTTACCATAGATTTCTTTACCATAATCAGCAGAGCACAGTCTGATTACCATTTGAAAATATGTCCTTTTATGTCTCAGTATTATAAAATACTGTCACATATTAATAAAATTCAACCATTAATTTATTCTATTTTTGTTTCAAAAAGTACATGGCCAAGTCGCCACTTAACTAAGTTCAGAAAACCCATTTCCTGATAATTATTTTCTCAATGAAACCACCAGTAAATATGCCTTTATGGAAACAAACTAAATCATGCAGCAAAATAAATTTACAAAATCGGGGAAATTATTACCTTTTTATTTAATATGCACATACAACTGAAGTAAAAATTTCAATTTCTATATCCACTTAAATAAATTTAAGAATTGTGGCATCTTTTAAAGTAACAACTACAATTCATAAATTTGGCGTTTAGCTACAGTAAACTCTTATTTAATTATGTTATCATGGTACTTATTCTTTTAAATAATAACCAAAATTTTTAATTGTAATATTTCCTCAGTCCAGGATATTTTACATTTAGGCATACAAATTTGGATGATTTTCTTTTCTAATTACATCAATTTACCATTCATTTGTACACATACATGTGTGTGTATGTTTATAAATAAACAAAATTTTTCCTACAATAATTTGAAGTTGGCCTAAGACTTATCAAAGCCTAGAAAATCATTCATCCGTTGACATTCTTCATGCATTTTGTAAATGTATTGTGATTTGAAGAGGGAATTCTGTTCCTTGGAGTTCTTGCCGAAACAATTGTGTATGTTGCCAAGCAACTGTTCCTTCACCACCATTCAATTTGGCTGTCAGTGTAACCCATCTACAACCTTTGACACTGTCCAACACCGATTTTTCTCCAGCTGCAAATGCATACAGTAAAAATAAGTTTGCATATATTGTCAAAAATGAAATTTCCATTAAAAAATACTGAAAAAAAACCCAGCAAGTTGCATTGATAAGGGTTGAATTATGTCTACAGACTAAACGAAAGTTACCTCCACACACTTTTAAAAAGAAATATAAACTCTTGAAAATCAACTAATTATCAGATTTTAATAAAATTCTCAGCACTTATTCATTTATGAAATTTTAAAGAAAATTTGTAGAAATGATTTTAAGTTGTAACAACGTTTAATGTAAAATATTGCTGATTAATTATTTTTTAACCACTTCATCTTATTGTAAGCTTAAATGGTATAGGAAAAACAAAATCATGTAAGGATTTACTTATTTCACTGTTCAAATTTCAAAGTGTAACTGTTGCAACCAGTGTGTGTATGTTAGAAACAAAATATCCAACAATTTACTAAAGTCAGATTTTAACACTCATTTGAGTTTATCTTATATTCTATTTATAAACTGGCTTTTGCAAAAAGACATTATTACTAAATTGTAGTAATGCCTGCTGTATTCATAACCAGTTATTATAATAGATATAAAGGTCATCAGTGATTGGGTTACAAGTTTATTATGAAACATATAGCAATGTGTGTGTGTGTGTGTGTGTGTGTGCGTGTGCATACACTTAAAGTAATACCTCTTATTAATTTCCACAAGCTATAATATATACAGGAGAGGGGATAATAGTATTGGATAGAGCAAGGTTTCAACTTTATTATTATAACATTATTTTTCCAGTCACCACCATTGGTTATTCAGTTTTAACAGTGAGGGACAAAGCCCATATGCTGCGCACCAGTGACCCACTTTTTCATAACCACAATAAAAATGGTGAAATACACTTACATGTACACTTATAATATCCTGAGCAGGAAACACCTAATTTAACAAAACACCAATCATTTTTGCAGTTTTCTTGATAAACAGTGGTCAGTATCTAAGCCCATGTAAAAGCTGATTTTCAAGCTCTTTTAACCTGGAAGATGGGCACAATAAAATCATGCTATCCAACATTTTAGTGCAGTAATTAAAGTAATCTTAGTAAATGCTAATACATCTACAATTTTTTAACTAAATATCTCTAAATCTGAAGTGTCAAATGCACATTCATTCTGTAAGTTAATGTGAATTTTGACATTCATGTTTTTCATTTTTTTAGAAGACATTAATATTTTAGTTTTCAGCAAATCCAGTTATAATTTTCTGATCTAATAAAACCACTTTAGAAATAAAATATCTTATATGAGGAACTAAATTCTTTCTTACAAAATGAATTTAGGAATTATTATTAATGACTGACCTTTTAATATATGTGTATCACCTTTATCCTCTTGAACTTCCCACACAATCTTTCCAGTGGAAAAAGTATTGCTATCTGCAAATACCTCCAGTTGCCTGATTGTCATGTCACAATCTGAAAACAAAGTTTAATTAAAAGAAATAATAAGTTTAAGAATGATATAAAACATTTTTCAAAAAGTGTAATAAATACTATCAAAAGCTCATTTATTTAAGCATTTACATACAGTCGTGTGATGAAAAGTCCTTGGATAAATCTGAGCAAATAATCAAACATTCAAATTATTTTGGAATTCCAGCTGGGAATTTTTTCAGCAGTTTAGTGTGTACATTTTAAAAAAAAAATTGTTTGTGTTACAATATCATTATAGTGATAGTACATTTTTTAACTTTTGGTGTTTACTATTTCCACATGTATTAACAACCTAGTTTCACAGAGTTCAATTATCATTGCACATCCAACTATTATAATCTTATATACTATTGTACTTATTATTTTGGATTATTGTTTTCATCTTGGTTGATATAGGATATCTGTGTTATTTTGTCTCTGTAATGCTAGTTATTATTTGTTCCTAGTGAACCAAGGATTGAACTTACAATCATTAGATGATAGTGACACAGGTATAACCAACTCCTATATCCACTACACCATTATCCCGAAGGTGTATTTTTAGAGCCTTTATATTCAGTGTCAGATGGTTTCATCATTTGCTTATTATGGTTGTATATCAAACTAAGCTTAATACATATCTACTCTTGCTCATTTTTAGTTATTTTTTATGAGGCTAAGAATATTAAAAACATCAAAATCAAAAATTTCTTTTTACTATATAACACTACTTAAAAATATTTGTTGCCCAGAACACTAAAATATCAGCAAATAATAATAGCAGTTTTCTCAACATAATCTGAAAACCAAGCAACTTAAATAAAATAAAAATTTACCTGAAATATCAAATTTCCAACTGATAGTAGCATCATCAGTTCCTTCCTGCCTGGCAAGATAAACCATTTTCCAATCCTGTTCTTCTTTTCTTATAATATCCTTTACCAAAAAGGCAGCTGATGTCCAATGTTTGATTTCCTTAATCTGAGCATTTGCCCGAATGTAAAGGTCTTTAGAGCAACTGTAGTTGACACAGAGAGCCTTAACTTCTTGTTCTTTATTGTCTGGTTTGAAAATATATGGGATATGATTTTGGATCTCACCTCGACCAAGTCGCCAGGCCAAAGAACCTGTAGTTCTTCCACTCAATCCTTTAGAATCTGCAGACTTTGGCATCATGAATTCAACAAGTTCTTTCATTTGTCTGGAAGCAAGTTTATCTTTTCTCTCGGGGGGAAGATTCTGCTGCAGGATTGTTCGGAGATTTTCAAGAGTGCTTATTAACCAAGATTCTTGTACTTTGGTCCGATTCTGTTTCACTTCATGATGTTTGCAACTGTATCGCCATGTCACATCCTGGATTTCATCAACAGAAAATGCAATGATATAATTGATTTTCACTCCCCAGCCCAACTCATAAAGCAGGGGCTTGTCACAAACATTCTCACAGGGGTCACAGTGCAACCATCGATCTTGAGATGTGGAAAATACCTCCGTCCACACATGATCCTTCCAGCTCACAACAAAGCGAGCTTCAAAACCCAATGCTCGGCAACAGAGAGTAAAACAGTTGGCCCACTCCCCACATCGTCCTTCACGCGTCTCCAACAGTTTTCCTGGATGATTGTAACGAGGGAAACGCACAACTGTATCACATAAGGTGCATGTATACAGCTCAACATTCCGTGTCTGCCATTTGGCTTCTTCAGGGAGGGGAATATCTGTTCCCTTTCTTTGAACTTCACTACACTGGCAGAATGTACATATTGGACTATCAACCCATTTGAAAAATTTGTTTTTGAACCAATCAAGTAAGCCAATCAGAAGACAGTCTTCTATACTAAAATTGCTGGTTTGATCACTGATTCCATCCTGGGAATTCTTAAGCATATTAAATTTTATTTTTGCTGTTTCTCTTAGTTTATTAACAGGAATGATGTTCTGTGCTTTTTGCAAAAGTTCGGGGTTCTCATATTGTCGGACATTTTTTATTGTGGACACAAGGGATGAATAGAACATGCTCACTTCCTGAAATAATAATAGAATATAAACTATATTAATAAGAATCATCAAATCAATTAAATGCATATTCATACACAATAATAAACACAAAAGATGAAAGAGTGCTAAATATAATGGTTATAAACAAAATCTCAGGAAAAGTTATAGACAGCTATCAAACAGGGACCATAATTAAAGCAAAAATTTGTCTGCAAAATAATAATCAGTCATGAAGATTTTTTTTTTTTAATAAAAATGTGTTTATTCAAGTAGTAGGAAATTAGGTCTCTCCTTTTCTTTTTAACTGTGAACTGCCATGCTTTCTCAAAAAAGTGGAATAGCCATGGGAATTCAGAGTTTTCTTTCTCTTAGATTGGTTCCCATACAAATCTAGAGAGCCCAGCCTATATTTCTATTTAGGCCTTTAGTTGCAGGGAAGGTGATGGATTTATGGCTTTCCTAAGAGGATGAATGCAACAGAATAGGCTGGAATCTAAACATGGATCTTAAATTCCACTTTCCACATTGATAAACATTCACATCCGAAGAGCGACTACTTTCCTATTCTATCATTTCAGATATGTTGTAGCATTTCTGGTAAAAACACTGCTTCTTTAATTAAGAATGTTGACATTAACAATTGGACCATTTAATATGGATATATTTAAAATAAATCAAGTTTAGATATATCAAACTTACCATGTTTGCCAACTTGTTTTGGAAAATTATCCTAATCTACAAGTTGTACAGGTCAACATTTCAGTGTTCAGCCTCCTATCCATAATACTGGCACAATGGATACAGTGTAATATTTTAATAATTCAGTTTATTGGGAAAACAGTGCATCAAATAAATATTGTAAATGTAACATGTTTTTCTTACCAGAGAACAATTTTCAGTTGATATAGATGGAAAGTTAATGTCTGTTTTGCTTTCACATTGTTGCTGTGATGACGTCTGCAAATGAGAGGAGTGTTGTATTTTCTCAGTGGAATTACTTTCTGAATTGTTTTCTGTACTTGATTTATTGTCTACTAAATTGTTAAGTTGATCTTGAATTTCAGTCAAGTCATCAAGAGGATCTTTTTCAGGCAGGGTCAAGTATTCTCCATCCTAAAAGAAATGGGAAAAAATAAGTCTTTTAAGCTTAATATAGATTTTTTGGAAGTTTTGTCGCAGTTTTTTTATCATATTAAAATTAGGTATCTATGCAGAAGAAATCCACTTAGCCTCAAAAAGGCTGAAAGCTTGTACCTGCCAATGTCATTGGCTCCATACTACAAATAAAAACGGGTGGACTCACTCAGTCATTTATAAAAGAAAATGTTTGAGGGATTATCTTGGATGTGCTACCTACAGCATGGATGGAATAATTTGGATGTGTTGGCTACCAAATGAATATAAGGTCAGTGGCAGTAAACTAGAGCAGATGTGGATGAGTGGTTTGCAGCTATTTGGACTTACATCACTGTGAATTTGTGACGCATTATGATTGGCATGAACAATTAGGGCAATTGTCCATAAATTGCTCAGGAAATGGATTAAATGGACAAAACGTCAGCACCAGTCTCTTTCCAGAAAAAAGATTTAGATATGGGTACTGGCCTGCTTTTGCAGACTTATTAGCAGATCAGTTTGTCATCTTTGGAGTAAAAAGGAAATTATGGTGCTCACAGTGGTCAAAAAGACACCGAGATGTGGATTTGGCAGAGTTCAACTAAGTGTGAATGATGCGGATCTGTTTACAATCAAAGTATTGGTTGTGGAGAGAAAACTACTTGATTTCAATCTTCTATTGGAGATGGACACCATCAGAGTCTGCATTAATTGAACAGGTGAAGCGGACAATGTATCTTCATGCGCTACACTCAAAACTGATGAGCCTGATTTCAGTATCAACTTCAACTGGCAGAAATGCATGTGGACTACCCCCTTGTGGAAGTGGACAAATGATTGGTCACTAGATGACCAGAAGAACAGGATACCAGAATATATTTTCAAAAAACATTAGGGAAGATTACGACAATTGTCATAAGAAGTTAAGGGAGTAGTGACAATAGGGGGATCAATGTTACTATATTGGATTTAGGAAAGGCCTACTTACAGGTACACTCCCATAAGTCATCATTGCCGTTTCAGATAGTGATATTAAGAGGTACTGCTTCACTCAACTAGGATTCAAACTTAATGTGGCACCATTCATAATGAGATCCATCATGGTTGCAATAATGCTGCAAGACGAGATTATCAACAGTGAGATCTGCATATATAGATGACATCTATATTAATGAAGATATAGTGTCAACAGCATGCATGAAGGAGCATTTCACAAGGTTTGGTCTAACATGTAAGGATCCAGAGTGTTTACAAGATGATAAATGAGTGCTGGGTCTGCATGTCTTCACAGTAAGTGTAGAAAAGTTATTCTAGAAATCACCGAGGTCATCACAAGACAGAATGTCTTCTCTGTGTGTGGAAAGTTCATGAAAGCTTTTCCTGTGTGTGGCTGGCTTTATGTGGTCACAGTGTTTATAAAATGCTTTACATCATGATCCCCATGTGAGGACCATGTTGGAAGATACCATCATGAGGATACACAAAAGTAACCCAGTGCAAGGTATTTGGTGCATGAATGCCCATGAGATCAATGTCTGGATTGATGTGAGCTTCTTAGCCACTGTAATTGCATTGGAAATCAACGGATCTATTATTGAGGATGCATGCTGGTTGCATCCAGTGAATAACACCCAGCACATCAACTTAGCTGAATTAGATGCATTGCTAAAGGGCCTTAATCTTGCTCTACAATAGCAAGTGAATAGTGAACCTGGTGACCAATACTGTGTGTGTGCATTGATGGGTTTCTGATGCTCTAAATGGAAAGGCCAAGCTGCACACTAAAGCTGCAAACAAGATGCTCACAATGAATCAACACATTCATAGAGCTGGTTAAGGAGTACAGACTGTAAGTATCCAATTGGTCAAGTCTGATCACAATTGAGCAGACAAACTTACTAGAGTCCCACAGTAGTTTGATGCTATCAAGAAACAAAGTGAACCTCTGAAACATTGAGCATTAAATCCTAACCAGATAATGCCCATCCACCACCAAACTGGTCATCCCAAGGTGAGGTGGATGTGGTACTTTATATGTAGGGCCAGCACATCTGTGTTAAAAAGTGCTGTTAGGACTGTGGTTGAAAAATGTAAAGTGTGTCAGTCTATAGACCCTTCCTCTGTACACTGGCAGTATAGTTGGTTAGATGTGAGAGACACCTAGAGTAGAGTAGTTATGGATATCATCCATTATAGGGGCAAACATTTCCTCACTCTTATTGACTGTGATCCCACCTGATTTGCAATCTGGCAACCACTGCTTTGACAAGAATCTTTAAGCATCATTCGCCAATTGGAGGTGATTTTGGGAGAGGTCCACCAGGGGAGTTTCTCACAGACAATGACACTGTTTTCTGTAGTAAACAAGTCAAGCAGTTTTTAGACAAGTGGGGCGTTTACCTTCAGTTGCTATGTGCATACGTCCCATTAGGGAATGGCATCTCAGTCTATCCCCGTACATTTACCCAGTAATCTTGATGGAAACACTTCTCTTCTAGATCTCTTTTTTTACCTCTATCACTGACTCATGTTATACTATGCAGCTCTGCCTTCTTGGCAATGTTGATCATGCATTAGTGTCTGTAAACATCTCTTTCTGCTCCCCAACCAACAAAGAATCTCCTACTAACAGAATATCTTTCTGTTATCAATGAGTGGATTGTGACTTGTTCCAAGATTTCCTTTGTGATGTCCCTTGGAATGAAGCTTTTAATCATCCTGTTCAAAAATGTATGCCCGAGGTTTTCCACCGAGTGAAAGTCAGCAACAATGCTTTCATTCCAGCAAGGAAATACCACAGGAATCACTTCTTCTGGCTGTACCAGAGGGACATAGTCTGATTGCAAGAGATGTCTCGTCTCATAATGAGTGCAATCATGTCCTCAAGGAAGCAAAGTTACTACTTTCTGATAGAATGAAATAACGTATAGTACCTTGCAAGTTTGGTTCTAGAGATTATTGGTGGCTCTGCAAGAGTGTGCTGAACAACAGCAAATCCTCAATCCCCCCCCTCTATTCAATCAATTCTAAATCTTCACATCTACAGCAGATAAGGTTGAATGCTTTGTTAGGAAATTCTCTTCCAACTCAACACTCGATTCGTTTGGAGTACCTACGCCTGATTTCCCCACCTAGAAATGAGGCTCTACTGAGTGATTTTTACATAATCCTGTTACTGGTCTCGGACATCATTTCTAAATTAGACCCCCATAAGGTGAAGTGGAGGGGACAGGATCCCAGCTGTCATCCTAAAGAAATATGCTCCCAAGCTGGCTCCACTTCTCTCCAAACTCTGTAACTATCGACTCACTGCTTCCTACATTCCAGCTTATTGGAAGTCCTCCTCTGTAGTTCCTGTTTTTAAGAACCTTGGAGACCCTTCTGACCCCTCTAACTATCACTCTATTAGTCATCTACCACTTTTCAGCAAAGTATTCGAGGCTTTAATCACTGCTGAAGTGGTTAGGCAAGCATCTTACTGCTCACAACCTACTCTGACAAACAATATGGCTTCTATTTTTGCTAGGTCTACCACTGATGTGCTAAAAGCCATCACTGAATATGTATATCAAACTCTTGATGATGATGAAGCTCAAGCTGTGACTCTAGATATCCTGAAGGTGTTTGACAGGATTTGGCATACTGGTCTTCTACGTAAGCTCCAGGGCTAAGGTATTACAGGACGATTGTTTGATTTAATCCAATCATTCCAGTCAAATTGTGAAATGAAGGTCATTTTTAATGGGATCACTTCCAGATCCTTTCACACGAATGCAGGTGACCCCCCCAAAGCTCTATCCTGGGTCCTTCACTGTTTCCGATCTTCATGAATGATCTTCCTGATGTTATCAGTTCCCAAGTAAGCATTTATATAGATGTCACTACCATTTACTCCTGTATAGCAAATCTGTCAGAGCTGACAAAGTTAACTTGGCCACTGCTCTTGAAAAGGACCACAAATCAGTGGTTAACTGGTGCAGGAAATGGTTTGTTAATTTTAATGCTTCCAAAATAAAACTGCTCTCATTTAACCATCATAGAGAAACTTTCCTACTCGCCATCAGCATTACTGATGGTAGACTCCTGGAGAGCATCACACTGCACCTTCTTGGCCTCACATTTTCAACTGACTCAATGTGGAAGGCCTACATCAAATCAATAGCTGCATCTACTGTGAGGAAAGTTGGGTCACTGTGTCATGCTAGAAGAGACCATCTTGCACATTTACAAATATACCATTCGTCCATGCATTGAAGACTGTTGGCATATCTGGTCTGGTGTTTCTGCTATATATCTCGGGGGTTCTTGACAAAATCCAAAGAAGGATCTGAAATATAACTGATCCTGACTTGGCATCTCAACTTCAGCCGCTTTCTCACCAACTTGACAAGGCCTACCACCATCTTTTCTACAAATATTTTCATAGCAACTGCTCTGATGAGCTTATTTACCCTGGTGTCCTGCTTACATAAATTTAAGTGTGTTACTAGATTGGCATCTAGGCCCCACACTTTTAGTGTTGAAATAGTTAAATGTAACCACCACTTCTATTCCAACAGTTCCTTTTCTCACACTTCCCACTTGTGGAACTCCCTTCTGTTTACTTGCTTCCCTGATAACTTCAAAAATTTAAATGCAATATCAGTCACCATCTTCTATCTTCTTTAATCCCTTTCATCTTTTATCCTTTCCTCAATCCTCCTATACCCAATCTTTTCTCTCACTTTCACTATCTGTAACCCCCTATGTACTAGTGTCATTCCTGCCTTGCTAGGAGTGAAATGATTTTAAAAAAAAGAAAAAAAAAAAAAAGAAAAGAAGCCTCCCAATAACCAATGCACTATCATTGTCAGAAAAGGGTGTGTCATTGGTGTAATCAGAAAGCACTCAGTACTGGTCAATGGAATCCCACACCACATAAAAGATCTCCTTGTTTTCAGGGCAACTTCATCAACAAAAAGTGACAGCAGCAATGAGTCTTCTGATAGCTTGCACTG